AAAGAACAGGCGTCAACTTGGGAGTAAGGCCAGAGGTGGACGATGAATGGCCCCTCCCAGAGAAAATGAAAGAGGAGCGAAAGGGGAGTGGAGTTTGCAGGAGACAATTAGTTCGCTTAATTGGTTCGTGAATCTCCGAGGCTCCTTGCCAAGTTCTGCAGAGATCGGCCTGGCCGCTCTCCAAGCCAGATAAGGTCTGTGACTGTAAATCCTCCCTTGAAAGACTTTGCTGGATGTGAATGAGAAGAATTCACAGGAAATTAATCGAAGGGGTTTTTGTCGGAACAAGGAGTTCGCTTCCTGCTCTTGGGAAGCATCGGTCAGAAAAATATCTTTTGGGGAGCGTGAGAATGAATTATCTTAAAAACGACATCCTGCTTTTGTGTCGCTAGTGAACTTGACACCCTTTGACACAGCACCAGGAACAGTGATCTCAAGAATGGGACAAATAAATCTTCATATTCTAATAGTCATTGTTTTTTATAGCCTTTCCAGTGTGGTGGCCTATGTTAATTTAGAAATATCTGCAACAGTATATCATCCCTATTATATCTGCCCAGCAATGTTTCCCGCCGCAAAACATGAGTATTCTCAGTATAACAAACTTTAATGCTGGATTAAATCTTGGCTTTTGAAATCTGCCTTCTCAACCCAGAAGTCTGTAAATCTGTCGCACTTTACAGATGTGATAGATTTCAACTGCCATAAACTTCGCCAGCCAGCAATGGCTTAAAATATGATTGGCCTTTAAAAGAATCCCATGTTTGATGCTAGTCACGTAGCAAAACGCCGCTCAGTTATTCAACTTCGTAATATACAGTACGTGTCTTGGCTTTATATGGTTTTGAATTGATGGCCGCCGTGATGCCGTTTTCTTTTATTGCGCCTGCAGAAGCGTGAAGTCAATACCATTTTAGCTGATGTCATTAAACATATGACTCCAGATCGGGCTTTTGAAGAGGCCTATCCTCAGGTAAGAGAGAAATTCAGACATAGTTTCTAAAAGGGGACAAAGATCATTGATCAGGCTAAATAAAATGATAGATCTGAGATATTTGGGTCCCTTCAACACTGATGTATATTATAATTTATTTATTGAATTTATATTGCTGCCTATTCTCCCAAGGCTGCTTACAAGAATATAAAACCACATTGTGGTGGTTGTTAGTTGAGAAGTCATGCCCGACCCTGTTTTATTTAAACAATAAAAACTAACAAAAAGAATCAAATAAATTTATATGGTACAATTGAAACAAATTACACCTTTCTCTCACACACACAACCCGGCGACAGCAGATCACACAAGCCACTGAATGGGCTCCATCCTGCTGTGGGTTCCCCGGGCCCACTGGCAGAACCAGATCTTCAGTGCCTTCCGGAAGAGTGTTAGAGTGGGGGCCACTATAATCTCNTGGGCTTTCGAATGGTGTATGAATTATTTGTGTT